CATGTTTCCCCAGATCGGAGGAGGAGGGAAGAAGCTGCAGAGCCTCCGCATCGAAGGAGGGAAGAACGTGAAGAGTTTCGTGGTCATGATCAGCACGCTCCACCGCCGAATGGTCATTTGCCCAGGCCTATGGCTACGTCTCAGTTTATCCGTCTGCCAAGCGGCGGATTCCGCTGGACCGGCGCAGAATTTGTCGCCACTGGTAACACTACTACCGAGAGATCTTATATAGTCGAGCACACTCGTACTATGAATCAAAGCCAGCAGTTTCTTTAATGTAACTGTTCATTTACATAGCAGAATACAAGCTTTGCTAGCGTGTTTTTTTTAAAGATGTTACGGCAGGTGAGAATGGGTTGATATTGATAAGTGAAATCCGACACAGAAAAATAAATAATACAGAATATGCGGTCATTTTAGCTCAGTCTTCCTGAAAAATTAAGGTATTTTGCACAATTAGCAAGGAATCGGCTGACAGTAGGGGAATTCACAGTGGCCGTTTCTGACTGGGTCAATATAACTTGAAATAATTCTGAATGCTCATTCCCCTCCCGTTTTTGTCCTAACTTAGCCAAAGGTTATAGAAGCGAGCTTAGAAACGGTACGTGAAACGGTTGAAGCGAACGAAAAGCCTCTGGAGCCGTTTCGGAAGTTTCGAGGCGTTTCTACCCAGATCAAAACGGGTTTTGAAAAGAAGTCAGAAACGGCCTACTGTGGACTCCTCTAGTATCCGCTATTTATTTCCGGTTACTTGCATACAAATAGTAAACTAATAGAACCCTGTAGAGAATCGTAATCTGCTTGATGATCAAATAGCCTTTGCAGCCAACGATATAAGGTAATTTGGACGAGCTTGCCGACTCCGATGCTAGTGGTACCATTGAGGGTGTCAATGGAGCTGATCACTAAACCGATAAGCGACTTTACGACTCTGGAATGGATTTCTTAAATTGGTTTCTGAATCACTCAGACTTTTCCTGCAATGAGTGAGAGTGTCACATGCGAGGCATTCAGGTTGTTAGCTAACTGTAACTTGAATTATTGTAATATTGACAGCATTGCTCACCGTGACCTATGGTGGAACTTCCACATATTCCCAGGTTGGGTACTTGAATTATAAGAATCAGAAAATCTCTAATGGTGAGGTCATCCTTGGGTCATCCCAAGAATTTACGTATCTGGCGCGAAAGGAAGTACCTGGAGGTTCAGAATCCCGACTCCGAGTCGGAACGTTCTTTCTCTGGGGGCGCATCTTTTCATGCCAAAGACCAGCAGAAGGAATTTGACTGCCCATTTGTCGGAGATGCTCAACTCAGGCCAGGCCATTCAAACGCGGGTCCGTGACTGTTCGGAATTCTTTCAAATGTGTATGCACCGATTGTCTGAATACTGAAGCGGGAATGAAGCTGTTTCGATTCTATCTATTCTCTATGAGATAAATGCATACTGTGAAGCTTCTTTTCCGATTCGATTAGATTGCTGATTCAGGTCATTTTGGCTCTTGAAGCGACTCAACGTTATTCCATGAAGGAAGCCGTATCGGACGCTTACCGCTGCCGGTCAAAGACATATTATAATACATATGGTGGCGGAAATCGTTGATAATCGAGATAATTCGAAAGGAGTTCTCATTTTATGAATCTGAAGAAGATCTCGCTTACTCACTTCATTCAGAAATCATGGCCACTAGTAGAAAGACCACAGCACCTCTTTTGGAGACCGGCTGTGCAATTAATATTTCTGCTTTTTTCATGACTATAAGTTGACGGGCTGGTAAGTGATGTGATCACTAGCGAAAAAATCCAAGGATAGTAACACATGTAACCTAATTGTTAAATAAATAATAAGGGCCTATGCCTCACTGGCAGGACACCTTTTTATTCAATCCGTTATGACACGGCGTTCTGATCCATAATCATGATGTCCGACAGTATAGTTATATTATTACCTTTGCAAATATCTACATTCTGATGTTGAAATCAGGGGATTCTGATATGAGCCTGCGTGGCCAAAGTTCGCAGCTAGTCGCTAGAAGTTCAGTTTGACTAAATTCTGCGCAGTCATCATGATGAATGTATTTCATTTTCTGGAAAAGAACTTAGACTTAATATACATGTATAAGAGAGAGAGAAAGAGAAAATGAGGATTGAACGAGCAGAGTGGAAATAGGGATTTGTGTAGCAGTGGGAAAGAGGAAGAAGCATAGAATTACATTAGAAAGCAATGAGTATGTCCGAGTACGCAAACTTTGAGAATAAACCGGAAAGGTAAGTATAGAACATGAGAATTGGGAGCATATGGAATGACGTCCCGTGCCAAAGCCAACAGCAATGCCTTACTGTTTATGACGAACTTGAAGCTTCCGCTGTATCCTTCAAAAACTTCGCCAACCGCAGAACTTGCCGTGCCCTAACGGCCATTTCTTCTCTCTTCCAGTCTTCAGCCGGTGGTCCGTTGGTGACGTAATAAGATGAGAGTTGGACTTGGATTCTAGAGTATTCCAAAAGTTTGGCGAGGGCTGCATTCTGACCAGCTGCTATGGCACGGTTGGTCTCTTGTTCTAAATTTGATGATGAGGAATGGGATTGGGAAGCTGGATTATATCCACCTTGCGTTGCCATTCTCCAGATTTGACAGGGATAATGTGGGAAAATAGGAGGGATAGTGGGAGAATATAGGAGGGATATGTAGTGGGAAAATATGATAGATAGGTGCGGTATTTGAAGGTGCAGGCGCAAGCGCTGAGGTCGTTGCTCTTGATTGTACTTACTAGTATAAAGGAGAACAATGGCTTGTAGAGGTGAGTGCGGGCGATCGCTGCCCTTGTCCTTGCAGTGGGCAATGCGTCGAAGGCAAAGGGAAGACTTGTGCGATGAATGTGGGATGTGAGCATGGGCACAAGGGTCGCTGGCAGCCATAGTTGTCCTAGTTGCCCGCATCGAGTTCTATCAGGTTCTATCGAGTCATGCATGCTTGACAGGTCTAATCGATGATCCGTTGCGAATGTGAATAACACGTGTTCTTAGCTTGCGGAAAGGAGCAAATAGGTTAGTCAGGACAGGCGTACATAGTATCGGTAGAATGCCTAGACATCGACCAAGAGCAATATCTCGATGGACCAAGAGCGCAGATGGCGCATACGTTCTCCCTCATTCGAAGTCCTAAGCCATCTCCGGTAGAGTCTCCGGAGATTGTCATCTCCGCCTCTTTTGGATGAATAAGATGGATGGGACCCGATTGTGCGAGATCCTTGAGCTGGAGATGTTGAGCGTTCAATAAAGAAATCAGACCGTGAGAATTATGTCCGGGCCGCAAATTCTTCTCCTCCTCATGACCGCCTCCTTGACTTTCGTTAACGCTTACTTTTTTTGACCTAAAATATTGCATAATGTGCAAGTCCATTGATGTTGGTATTCAGTTATTTTCTACTGCGACTAGAGACCTTACTTGACGCTTCCAAACATGTACACTAGAGTAAGTTCGTATCGAATCGATCATGTCTGCATTTTAACAACATTGAAATAGATAACGATACCTGGAATTCCGACCGAAAAATCAGGTAGCAACCAATCATGAAGTCTGTCTGACGAATTTAGGTATACAAGTAATATAGTAGTGACCACGGAGACCACTCTCAGTGGTGACGTCGCCGACTACACAAACAACCTTAATGTTCAATGTTAATTATTCTCTTTTTCCCATTGTTTCCTTATTACTCCATGAATATCACTTGGCTCTTCAATAACCCATGAGCTAACCTGGTCGAGATATCATCATGGCATGGCTGCATTCAGAAGGGTGGGCGTGCAGTCCCAATGATTGGTATGCAAACTAGTTTTAATGCGGCTTATGTTGTTCCTTTATTCATAGCTTTCTAGTAATGATGGACTATTATGCAGGTAGAGCCTTAAATAACCTTCTGATTTGCTATTTGACGTTGCATGATAGGTAAATTTTCTGAGGGCATACTATCTCGCATTGACCTTTATATCCTCCTAACCACTCGCACTCACAGCCGACGCCGCACCTCCAGGTTCTATTATTTCGTCATTTTCCGCCACAATCCTAAAATTTCTCATCATGGAGCCCTTAATCCCACAATTGCTCCGACTGCAGTATCCATTTGGAGATTTATCGTTCTATTGACCAATAATCGACGCGCGATAGCGAGAGGGACCTGACGCAACTAAACATTATCGAAGCTTCGACGCCACAAAGACACCGCGAACAAAAACGCTTCGATTTCGCGAAGAATGCCCATACCGCGAAAACAGAGGCCTTAGCACATACAGCTCATACGCTAAACCTCGAATCATAGAGCCAGTAAGAAATTTGCCGTTGACCACTCTGCAGTAGTTCCACTAACCGGATCAAGTTCCAGAATTTTGAGCTTTAACTGCGGCGAATTCCATGAGAGATTTCTGGCTACCGTCCCACACGGAAGTCGTGAAACTGGTGCTTCTCTTCGCTTCAGCTAGAAGTAGCTGGGAAGAACTACACATTGGCCTCTAGTATTTCCAATTGATGTCATTCGAAGATAAAGTATTCCAAGTTTGTCTCTTTAAACTATTCAATAACCGGAGTGTTACAGCGCCGAGGCGAAATGTGTCCATCCTCACGGTGGAAGGGCATAGCGACGCAGTGGTGTAATACCAATGCTCCTCGGAACCTATCGAGGGGAACATAATTGATAGCAGAATTGAAGGGGGGAATTAGACATAAATCTCTCCACTCCAGATCGATAGAAATAATACTAGTTAATAACAGCCTCTTCAACGTTCAATCCTGTATGGTCTATCATCGACTATAGGTGAGCTAGCGACCGGACCTGTAGTACCACGCTGAAACGCTGGATAATCGTACAATGTTGAAGATGATACAAAAGTGTATTAAACAGAGCCAGAGTCGACCCGATGGGAGAAAACTAGCATGAGGATTGAATGGCAAAAAGCAAAAGCAATTATATAACATGGATGTAAACCTCCTTGAAGCTTTGACCAACTGAGGTGGGGTAGCGGTAACCTGTACGCTTCCCAAGCATGTGCGCCGGGTTCAATTCCTGGTCTTAGTATACTTTTGACATTTTTTCTTTTGGCAGCAGATAAAATATTGTGGGATCAGAATCTTCCGTTTCTCTCTCAGCATATCACATGAATTTTTGACTGTTTACTGTGAAGAAATATTTCTGGAATACTGCTGGGAGTGGTGAGTAAAGCCTGAACACAGATCCAACTTGATATGAAAAATCACATGGAAACCCCATCAAAGACTGCCGTTGTGCATCAAATATTAGTAGTAACTATCATTGGGATTGATGTCACTGCTTCAGAGCCTTAGGAGGGGATGTGGACAGTATTCAGACCTGCTAGACCTGCTAAATGTAACACTGAAATTGTCAATAAGTATGAATACATTTAGTGTGTGATGCTTGGATTAGTAGGTTTGTGGGGATGTGTGATATGGACAGATAACGGAGACAATGCTAAGACTTAAGTACTGATTAAGAAAAATGAAACCGGAAATAAACCAAAGACAAAAGAAGGAATTGAAAAGAAGGCTGCCAGTCATATGAAATGATGCTTAATGCTTAATCCTTGATGACATGCTTTATTGAGAGGTAAACCATTGCGGGATGAGTGCAGCTTCAGTCCACGATGCATGGGAAATAGAACACGAGTTATACAAAGCAAAGAGATATTATATGAAGCATAAACATAAGGCAATACCTTATCCCTTACTACCTTTGGCTACACAAAAAGAATAGACAATAAGGTAGTAGCAACACTTAGTGTACAATGTTTGTATTAGGTCTGCAAGGGCTGAATTTGTCATATGCCGCATCACACAACATGAATGGAGAATAAAATGAGTCAGAGACAATAACAGATCAAGAGAAAGGAAAGGAAAAACACAGCTGCCACTGGAGGGGCAGTGCATCACCCCCTGCAGATGATCTATTTGAAAACATCGACAATAAATAATGATATTTAGTGTACATTGCTTTGTTCAGCTCAGCAGGGATGAGTACAGCTTCATCATGGCATGACTGTATGACATGCCATATCAGCAGTTGGATGTATCATGTATGTTAGTGGGATCCGGATGTCAAATATTATAATATAGGTACAACAAAAGATAGAAAAGGGAATATAGAACACGAGAGAAAGAAAGAGAAAAGGGGGAATCCAAAATAGTCTGATGAAACACCATTACTTTGACTTTCAGCTTGGAGAGATGAGTGCTACTGTTCTGTCAATGATTATGGAATGATTGCCTGAATTAATGGAAGTATAAGCAGATAAGCACAAATGAGAGAGAGAATTGAGGACCAGCACCTGATGTGCTGACACAAAAGAATGGAAATAGAGAGAAAAACAACCTCAAGCCAGTAGTGTTGCATCATCTTCCACTGGGCTTGCCATCAAAGCATTGGCAATAATAGTATATGTGGATACAATACTTAGTGCGCATCGCTTTGACCAGACTCGATGGGAGATGAGCACAACTCCAATATGACATGGCCAGTTGGTTGGAGTGGATGGACAGAACAGAAAAATGAGTGTTGAGTGAGTGAAACCAATGCTATAAGACAGAATGACGAGACAGTCATCCCCCATGTTGACTTTGTCACAATTAAGCCATCAACAATAGCATAAGTGAGGAAAAACTAAAAGACACTTTGAACAGTGATGCTTTGGCACTGACAAGTAGCTCAGTGGGGAGTGGCATTCTGTCAATTATCATGGCATGGTTGGAGAGGACTGAGGTACAGTACAAACGCCAGGAGAGAGGAAAACAGAATTCTAAAACATAAACACCACCACGTGATGTTCCCCCATGGGCGAGACCACCATCCATTGAATTTTGAAACCATTGATAGCCGACAATAGGTAATACTTATGCTCTGTATGAGGATTCAATTATCAGTTGAAAGTATAGTGGGGATGTGGTGATGAGTGTGATTCCGTGTATGAATGACATAATACGTTGTATGATTCTTTCAGGTGATACATGTGAGCGAGATGTGAGGGATGGATGGATGGATGGGGGTCGTGTGTTGTAGGATGGGGAGTTCGAATGGGGATGTCATCGGATGTGTGAACACAGACATGAGAGAAAGAGAAAGAGAAAGAAAAAGAAAAAGATAAAGAGAGAGAAGACCGTCGACCCAACAACACGGAAGACACATCTAAAGCCGCCACGTTCGTCCGGCGCATAATGTAAAAATAAGAAATCACCGACGATAGTAAATGCATGGATAATATACTTCGCACGACGCTTTCAAGCGATGCACGAGCGGAACATGAGGGAGGGATGGACCTCACGTGTTGCAGGTCGGGAAGAGAGGAGGAAAAAGAGGGAGAAGACGATCGATCGACTCAACAACACGCTCAATCCGACGCATCTGAAGCCCCATTCCCGACAAAGCTCGTACAATTACTAGAAATCATCGACGATGGTTAACGTGTGGATAGTATACTTCGTACGACGCGTTCGAGTGATACAGAGCAAGTGAGACGCGAGGGATGGATGGGCGTCGCGTGTTGTATGTAGGACGGGGAGATGGAATGGGGATGCCATCAATTGGAATGAAGGAGAGGTAAAATACGAACATTAGCATGAAAATGAGAAAGAAGGAGAAAGAAAGAAGAAAGAGAGCGAATTTGAGAAAGGATGGCCGACCCAACAACACCACACGCTCATCGTCATGTTAGAAACGATCGACAGTATATGTGACATAGCCTATAGTATACTTCGTGCGATATATGCGAGCGAGACATGAGGGACGGATGAGCGTCGCGTGTAGTAGAATATGAACGGGAACTTCAGGTGGTGTAAAAAACGGCCAACAAAAAGAAAAGGCTAACCCCCAGTCGAAAGAAGAAGAAGAAAAACCCCCTATAAAGGAATGAATCATGATAATCCACCCCAACACACACCAAAAACCACATCGATATCACTCTCCAGCACATCACATCGCTCTACAACAACATATAAAGTAAGAAAGTAATATGCGTCGTACGATGCTCAGCGGTAAGCGACTAACGAGCGAGGGATAGATAATGCGCTGAATCCGTGCGCGTCCGCCCGGAAATCCAGGACCCAGGACGACGTCGACAACAAATAGGGGGTTTACAGCTGAATGGGCAGCCCCTATCTATGTGCTCAGGTCGGAAATTGCGAATGAATGCCATACCAAACCAGTCAATCACTGGCAGCCGGCCCATTGACTTTGAGTGAATTGCTCTCATTCCCTGAGTATGAATACGCGGATCTAACAAAATCCAGAATCGAGCGGCTTGCAACAGGATCAGGATCAGAAGCAGAAGCAAAAGGCAAAGGCAAAAGGCAAAGTATTTTGTTATAATACACGAACGAACAAACTGAAACTGAAATTAAAACCCTAGTTGAATGAAAACTGGGAACCACACCCACAACCGAAAACGAGCAAAAAGAAACAAAAAATAATTATACTATACAACATCGTATCGTAATTGATAATCGTATTCGTATTCGGATGCTGCAAAAGAACTAGGGAAAGGAAATCATGAATGGCAGGAAGAGTAGACTTGGATGGAACAGGAGGATAATGCATAGAGAGACAACGTGAATGGAAAGGAACAAAAGCTTGAGTCGAATGAGCACTGGAAAGGCACATGGAGAGGGGAGCGGGGGAAATAATTAAGGATACCGAACATAAAGTATAAGAGCAAAGGCATGCGTGCATAGTGCGATTTTTGAAAAACAGAAGCTGAAACAGAATTGGAACGGAATCGAAACGAATCGGTTTGGAGAGGATTGAGGAGAAAGTGCAAAGAAAGACGTCGAAACACCCCCTCCTTCCCTCCCCGGATTAACTCCCCCTCGGCATTACCCCCTCTCAACTCACTCCCCCTTCCCCACAACACCCACCCTCATCATCCCATACCCCCCTCCCACTCCCCCCGACACACCCGGCGGACTCCACTGATGCACCTGTATCCCCCCTCCCGTCCCCCCCGCCGCACTCCCCGTCGTAGCAGAACTCACAGGAGGGAGCCCCCTCGGCGCCTGATGCACCGGCATTAGCTGTATCTCTGCCATCTCTCCCGCGCCTCCCCCATTCCCTCCATTGCCTCGGTCATAATGTTTGCTATCCTCATTCGAAGGATTCGCGTTGGAAGGATTAGAGGGGTTTGAAGGAGGGTTGGGGTGCGTGGAGGACGCAACGCGGGTGCTTGCGCGGAGCATCTCGATGTCGATGGGTGGACCGCTGGAGGTGCCTTCGGCGGCGGCTGCTTTGTCGCGTTTGCGCATTAGTTTTGCGTAGTCTAGACGTTTACATCGGTATTAGCATTCGTGTTCGTGTTGGGATTGGAAGGAAAAGCTACTCACGCAACCCACACGCATTACACAGCGTCCTCGCCCCATCCGGTCCTCTCCTCCACTCAGGCGTCTCCCGAATATTGCACGAGTGGCATTTCCCAGGCGGGGAGGCGCGCTATGCACACCAAAGATCAAAGAAACAATTAGCTTTTGTTAAGTTATAAAGGAAAGAAAGTTTCAAACGGACACGTACACTCCTCTTGCGGTATTTGGCCTTTTGCGCATTCGGGCTGTCCCCTTCGCCCGTGCCGTTCCCGCCGTTGTTGGAAGCGGAAGAAGAGCCGTTGAGGTTCCCGCGCTTGGAGCGGATTATCGCCATGTCTTTTTCGGCCATTGACTAAGAAGGGGGGAAAGGCATTAGTATTGAGTGTTATGGGAGGAAAAGAAACAACTCACATCCCCCTCTGCCCCACCCTCATCCTCATCCTCCTCCCACACTCTCTTCTTCCCGCTCACACTTCCCCCATTCCCTCCAAATCCACCTCCCATCCCTCCATAGCCACCCGCAGACCCGTACGGCATACTAACGCTCCTCTTTCCCTCGCCCCCTTGCATCCCCCCGTGAATGGAAGGGGCAGCAGAGGGAGACACACCATCCGGCGACATGCCCCCCAAAATCCCCTTCGCCAACTTCGCGACCATGCGTGCGCGCATCGCCATCTCTTCGCGCTCTACTTCGCTTGCGCGGTCTTGTCCCGCCCCTCC